TTTCATATTGATATAATGGCAGTTTAATAAATTTGATTTTCTAACTGAAAAAATTGACAAGTGTTTTCTACAAAATGACTTAATCTTCAAGTTTTTGATCTTTAATTTAGCCCGTGATCTTGTGTCCATTTATGAATGTTCCTATATATGAGTTTGAAGGACCAGGGCTGAAATAGCCTTACTGTGGTAGGCATTTGATAGTAGCCTTAACTGCAAGCTAAGGCTAGAAAACAAATTGTTAGGAAAAATGGTATTAGAACCTACTTGGGCGTATTTTGGCCATAATTCACAACAAAGCGTGATTTTGCCAGAGAGATAACACATCAAGGAGTTTTGGAACATGGTACAAGTCTTTTGCCTACTGCCATTTGTTACTATGAAGTTTAAATTTTCCAGAATGAACTACACCTCTGTTTCCTCCTTCAATGTCACTTAACCAAAACAGTTTTAATTCATGCAAAGAGCTTCACCTTTGCTAGAGTGGAAAGCAAAGTTTCATAGGACATAGTCTTCCACTTTTTTTTCACTCCTGGCAAACTCTCTTCTCACCTACCCTGAAAGCTGTAGTTGCAGCTGGAATAGAAAAGGAGCAGGAGGCAACACATGAGATGCTAAAACATTGTGTGCTAACTTTATTCTGATAGCTAGGGATTTATTCTGTGTGGGGAGAATTCTGTAGTGCTTTACTGAGAAAAAGAGTCCTCAGTATGCTGGAATTTTTGTCACATTCATTTTTAAGTGTAGTTTTATACTTGTGGCGGGTTGACCATGGCTGGGTGCCAGGTGCCGACAAAAGCCCCTCTATCATTCCCCCTCCTCAGCTGGACAGGGAAGGGAAAATATAGTGAAAGGTCTATGGAGTGAGATAAGGACAGTGAGATCACTCACCAACTAACTATCCCGGGCAAAACAGACTAGACTTGGGGAAAATTGTTTAATTTATTACCAATCAAACCAGAGTAGGTTAATGAGAAATAAATTTTAAGGTACCTTTTCCACCATGCCTCCTTCCTTCTTGGGCTCACCTTCAGCCCAAATACTCTATCTCCTCCCCCACCACAGGTGTAGGGGGATGGGGAATGGGGGTTGTGGTCACCTCATCATACATGGTCTCTGCTGCTCCTTCCTCCTCAGATGAGGACTTCTCACACTCTTACCCTGCTCCAGCATGGATCTATTTCACAGGAGACAGTTCTCCATGACCTTGATGATCTTAAGGTCTTTTCCAACTCAGTTGATTCTATGAGTCTATGAAACAGCTTGAGGAATTTTTTCTTTTCTTTTTTTTTCTTTTTTAATGTATTCAGCTCTACTGGTACTTAATAAACTGAAATACATCTAGCTCAGCTTTAGCTTTACTTTTTTTCATGTCTCTCTACTTTTCTGTACAACTGAAGACATTAATGCCACCTGCAAAATATGTCAGGCTCGAAACAAGAAGTACAACGATGCCAATTCTCCTAGTGTTAGTAGAAGTCTTGCCATGAACTACATTGAGATCAGAATTTTGTTCACTGCATTGTTTACCACGTAATGCATAAGTAACAGATTACTTATATTTGCTGGGGAGATGTCACAAACCTAAAGTTACTTAGGTATATTGTTGAATTTTAAATCACACTTTTCTGTTGGCAATCACTTTTACTTTGATATCTCTTCTTAAAACTACCTCTTGTGGGTAGAAAAGTAATACTTCTTGTGTCAATGAGTTTCAGCAATAGTACAATTTTCTGCCAATAATTCCATATTTTTGCGAATATGAAATTATGTACTCAAAATTCCTTCATTCCTTTCTGTGTCTGGAGGCTGTCTGTGTGGCTTTTAATTTATGGGCCATGTTGAACATGGAATACTACCAAGTACATGTAAAAACTATGTGTATTGAGTTTTTGCCTAATCTTCCAGTTTACTGTTGCTACAGATTCTCTACCACTCTCAAGAAAAAAAAAAGCAAAACAACTGAATATGGAACCTTAAGGCAAAGGCCAATGAGTCTGATAGATTTTGTAGCTGGATCAGTAGCACATTCTGTATTTCAGGCACCAACCTAAAAGTGAAAGCAGAATTGCGTAAGTCAATTAAAGAGTAATCAGTGGGATTGCCCAGAAAATACACCCCCTCTCAGTGCCTCTTAAAGGATTCATTATTCAGTCTCAGATGCAGTGTGTTTGACTTATTGTCAACTGCAAAAGAAAACATGGAAATATCATTTTTTGGTTTCTAATAGTGTACTCAGCTTTGATTACCTTGGAAGATAGGATCTTATTCTGAGATGTTTACAGTCTAAGATAAGATTTTGACACCCTTGCTCATACTGAATAGCATTAGTCAGGACTGAGCTGGTGCTTATTCAGGTCAGATCAGAATTAGTCATCAATTGAGGTGCTGGTATTTATGTAGAACCATGATGGTGATTCAAACATCTTTCCATGAGGCATTGATGCAAATGTTTTGCCACTGCTTTTATGTCTTTTTCTGTACCTCTCTTTTATATGAATACCGTAAAAAAACTTTTGGTTAAAAAAAGTGCTTTGAGAAGGAAACTGAATGAAAGAAACTGTTAGGCACATGAAGGAGCAGGAAGAATTTTGAACAGAAAGGATAGCATGGAAGAAAGCCCTGTATTCCAAACACAGTCCTAAAACAAAACCGAAAGGTTGGCGGGTTTTCACAGGACTGCCAATAGATGAGCAATGACTAGTCTGCCTTTTTAAAACATTATCTCCTGCCAACCCCAAATTCCCTTCTCCCATTTCTAGCACAGCATTCAGCCTGCAGAATAAGTGGATGATGAGGTACACAATTGTGGTGTGGAAGGGATTCAAACAATGCAAGTGATATTTTGATCTTCTGGGACTTCTGTGAGACAGAGAATGAAGAGGAGGAAAGACAAACTGGTCTTCATTTGCAGAAAAGGCTTTAATCTCTTCTGTGCTGTGTGGCTATGGCTGAGGAGAGAGGAGGGGAGTTGTCTTCCTGCTTATATCAAGTTGCCAGGCCTTTAATTTTGACCACATGTACCATGCAATTATGGCAGCTGATGAATAGTTATAAATGAATTAGTCTTTGGCAAACCAAACTTTATTTCAAGTAAGATCAGTATCACAGAAGATACAGGAAAGCAAATTTTGTGATGGGGTCAGTGAGTTTTTTAAACGTTCAGATTTCTTGGCAGAATAAAAGGGCGCATTAGTGTAAAGAGGCAAAGTATCCTTATTTCAAAGCATACTGCTGGAACAGACACCTTGCTGCTCTTCCCACAGGGCAAGGAGGACTAAATACTGATGGACAGTCTGAACCTTGCCTCTGTTTGCTGAACTTTCCTTTTTGCTGTGGTTCATACAGGGGTTATAGGTAGCATTCCTGTCACTGCCACCACGCTCCCCACACTAATTGTCATGAAGTACAGAAAGTTCAAGTAGGTTTGGTTCCCAAGGCTACTAATGAGCCCTGAGCTCTCCTCATCCTTAATGAACCAGGGCTTGTTTGTGGGAGATTCTTGTCCATACTTCCTTTTCCATGGTCAGGGAAGGAGGCAAGAGTTCACACAACCTAACAATGACTTTACAGTGTAAAGACGATGCAGCTGTGCCATCTGAAGCCATCTTCAGTTATGAGCAACAAAGCTTAAATAGATTGTACTGTGAAGAGGTACAGCCCTGTGAGTGTGAAGCATAGCTTTTGCTTCTGCTTCACTGACCTGTCTGCTTGCAGCAGCAACAGGCCCTTGACAGGAGCTTAGGCAGGGAGAGCTGCGTAGGGCAATTCTTTCAAAACCACTCTCTGTAACACTGAGCTCAGGAAAGGAAGCAAAATGAAGTTTCACTTGATCTCTGATGGATTTTACTGCTGCATTTTTCAGAAAATCCCATGCTCTCCATTTAAAAGTCATTGGTTCCTAATCCACTTCAGGTGATTAATAAAGCCACTAAAGCACGCGGTAGTTGGTAAGTGTTAGCTGTAGAGAGTACCCACAGAAAAATGGATGCACACACACGAACAAACTCCTCCTAGGCAAATCACATGTTTCACTATCTCACTACATTTTACTATCTGCCTTTCTAAAGGTTCTTGTACCAGAAGTTAGGATCATCAGAAATTTGGGCTAAACTACAGTTTATCATTTACTTCATCCACCTTCCTTTAAGGATTTCAGTTATGACACTGTGCAGTCCTCTAGATATATTTATCTTACTACAAACATATATGTCATGTATTTTGGGGCATATGTGTACAGCTACATGTGCACAAAAGTACAGATACATATAAATACAGTTGTGTATGTTCTTGAAATACATGGAAGGAGTATATTAGTATATGATATATATGCCGTACATATATACTATATGTAAAATATCAAATGCTTTCCTAGCAGTATTATTCCCTGTATATATTCAGATACACAGTTATGCAAATAAACACAGACATGTACTTTAAATGCTGTGCTATTGCTATAATAACAAATGAAAATTTCAGTCTGAAAAAGTAACTATTAATTGGAATAGCAATTGTAAGGTTATCAGTTATAATATGCTGGACTAATCCTTGAACAATATTATACAAAGGTGAGGGTTTTTTAAGAAGTTTTATTACTAGATGAGTAAAGCCAAAAACAGCATCTGCAGAAGAGATCTAATTTTACTGTAATAGGCTGCTTGATGGTCATCATTTTAGGTTTTAATAATGCACAGAAACATCTGCTGTTTTCCTTGATCACATGAAAGAGAAGCGGAAAGAGAAAGAAATCAAGAAGGAGGGTGGTTGGTTTGGTTTTTTTTGTGCCTTCCTAAGTGAACAGAAAGGAAAAAAAAAAAAAAGAAAAAAAAGCAGTCCAGTTTTAAATGCCTTGATATGTACATGTGCAGGTTCAAAACTTTAGGTTGCTCTCCCGCATGGCGTGGTGGGTTGATAGCCCCAGCAGCAGTGGCGAAAGTTGACAACCCCCCACGGCTGACCCCTCATGTCCTCTCTCGCCTAATCGAATTTTACATGTGTTTCCAGATAGCTGATCAGCTTCCCTGGATTTCGCTGACGCCACAGGAAAGCTTTGCCTGAAGATGGAAACACTGGAGTCAGAACTGACCTGCCCTATCTGTCTGGAGCTGTTTGAAGACCCGCTGCTGCTGCCTTGCGCTCACAGCCTCTGCTTCAACTGCGCGCACCGCATCCTGGTCTCCCACTGCGCCACCAACGAGCCGGTGGAGTCTATCACCGCCTTCCAGTGCCCAACCTGCCGCTATGTCATCACCCTCAGCCAGCGCGGTCTAGACGGGCTCAAGCGCAACGTCACCCTGCAGAACATCATCGACAGATTTCAGAAAGCCTCGGTCAGCGGGCCCAATTCCCCCAGTGAGACCCGCCGGGAGCGGGCGTTTGATAGCAACAGCATGTCGACCTGTGAGAAGGTCCTCTGCCAGTTCTGTGACCAGGACCCTGCCCAGGAGGCGGTGAAAACCTGCGTTACCTGCGAGGTGTCCTACTGCGAGGAGTGCCTGAAAGCCACTCACCCCAACAAGAAGCCATTCACCGGTCACCGTCTCATCGAGCCCATCCCAGACTCTCACATCAGGGGATTAATGTGCTTGGAGCATGAGGATGAGAAAGTTAACATGTACTGCGTGACCGATGACCAGTTAATCTGTGCCTTGTGTAAACTGGTCGGGCGACACCGTGACCATCAGGTGGCAGCTTTAAGTGACCGCTATGACAAGCTAAAGGTTAGTGCTACCTATTGGCCTTCCTAGCAAAGCAGTGTGTGGTTGGGAAGGAAAGTGCCTTTTGGTTGCATGCTGAGTTCCTCATTAGGGCAGGGGGTGGGAAAAGTAGAAGCATGGTCTCTAATCAGACAAGATATGCATACAGATCTATATGTGCATTTGATCATCACCATTTAAAAGGTGTCAGATATTGCTCAAGGAAAGATTTCTCAGTTGTGCTTTGAGTTTTCTATCATAAGGAATATGCCGCATATACTGCTGTTTAGTTGAATTTTCTTATCTAGCTACAGCTTTATTCACGGCAGCTGGCAATGTTTAGTGCTGACTGCACATACACAGGCACTGATTGAAATGTCAGGCTTTCTTTGCGTATGCTCCACTGTTGATTATTTTTATTTGGTTGCTTTCATTGTGAAAAACCCTTTGCATCACTGTTAACAGGAGATGCATTTATCTCTGCTGGCTTCGGGGATGCCAGCTGCTCGTCCAGCCAGGGAAACCAAATGCCGGCTCCACTCTTCCCACACTACCTCCCACCTGGGCTCTCAGGCAGCGTCGTCCTGGAAACAAAACCAAAATTGTTTCTGGGCTACTTGTGCTGTTCCCACGGTTCAGTGAGCTCCCAGCACACCTCCTTCCCGGCTCTGGAAGCCCCCTGACCCTGTGCAGGACCCCTCGGCAGGGTGGCAGTGGGCAGCCAGGTCTCAGGGTGCTCTTGGGGGTTCTCCAGGCTGACAGTGGAGGCAGAGCTCCTGCAGAACAGCAAGGCCAAGGCCGGTGGCCTCCCATCTGCCTGGGTGTATGCTCCTCTCATGCTGATTTTGGTGCTGCTGCAGAGCAAAGGCAGGAACTAAGCATCCCGTGCCTCCCTCCACCCACTCTCTCCATACGGTCTGTGTGTGCCTGCGTGTGACTTGGGGGGATTTTTAAAGATGGACTGCAAATTGAGAAACCACAAGTATGGAGGGCAAAGCTTATCTGCCAGCCTTCTCACACAGGATTTCAGAGGTGGGGAAAGCCACTGAGTTAGTAGGTTTAACTAACTGGAAGGCTTTTCTTAAACACCTTCAGACAAAAATGTGTGGCTGCACACATGTATAATAACTTTAGATGGTTGCAGGTGAAATCTGCATACACATGCTATGTGGGTTTTGTGCCTCTTCACATGTGTAAACAGGCAGAGCATATTCGATGATTATAGTAACATAATGAAAGAACCTTCTTTACTTGGACCTGTGAACCTGATAGCTTCCTTTCATCTCTCAAAGGCTTTTTTATTTACTAAGGAAAACTTGGTTTGCTTTTTTCTTTTTTTCTTCC